GGTCCTATAGCCTATAGCCGGGTACGGTAGAGGCCGAGAGGCCGAAACAGCAACGGTACCGGTAGGTCCAGTCAGTCCGGTCTAGGTCTAGGCTAGTCTGGGAAGTCTATAAGTCCTGTAGGTGAATCGGGTAGGGACTTTTGGCATTTCATTTTTCGCGTGCAGCGTTGGTGGCCAACTAAATTTAGCAGCGCTGAAGACCCACAGCGGCACCTGGGGTTTCAGCAGCCGTGAAGCAGCCATAGCCGCCTACCTGAGACAGCCATAGCTGGGGCTSTACTCAGCGCATCTATCCCCTGGGGATATCTGCGTTGGCCGGCCTATCTGGGGGCKCTTCACTGAGTACATGTGGGTTCTGCTGCTGCGGTAGCAGTTAGGCAGCCATAGCTGCCTTCTTCATCGTCAGAGAGACTCATCGGCACTGGAGACTACTTCGCTGTTCATGATCTGCATCTGGGTGTATGACGCTGGCCTCTGGGAGGCTGTTTCTATGCAGCGCTAGTCTCTGAGAGTGTAGTAGTGAGTGGAGTGTGTGGTACTTGAGTGGCGAGATACTGGGTTGAACTCTGGAACGATAATTGGGGTAAATTGTGTTGAGTTAGCTCATCATCTGGATTACTTTCCAATTGTGATCTTCACAGTGTCATCCTGTGATTGGTTGTTGGGAGTTTATCAGAGAGAGAGAACACTGTGTGTATTCTCCCCATCTGTTCATGATTGCTATTCCGCTGCTTATCTCTGGTCTGTGTGCAGGTGGACTTTGTCTCTTCCACCCCTTTCTCTCATGCATGTATGGGCGTGTGTGAGTGTGTCTGTGTGTGAGTGGCAATCGAATTGTCAAACAACCAAGCTCATAACAGTTGGTATCGGAGCGGAGATTGGACTTGGAGTCCAGAGAGTTGAGCGCAAGAGGGGCAACTTCTCTTTCTGGCCCTAACTGGCGAGAAGTGCCATGGTCGCTCTTTGTCTTCAGTAAAGATCCAGTGGAAGAGAAGATCTACAGGCGGTGATTGCAGTATATCAGTTTGCGATTGATCAGGCACCTTGAGCCTGTCTGTGTGCCTGACAGGAAGTGGCGAGAATAGGGGTATTTCGCCATCCACCCATCTGACCTCAGTTGATAACTGGGATCAGGGTGGCGAATTGCACCCTAATCCAGTGATTACTGGGTGGCGGCTTCAATCCCAGTGTAGCGCTGAGGGAGGTTTGATCATAGGATCACCTCCTGCTAAATTAACCCTCCTCAGGGCTAAATTTAGCACCAGCGGCTCATACCCTGCAGTGGCGAGATATCTTCAGGAGAGTTTTCTCTTGCCACTAAGGCAGATTCAGTGCATCTGAGTGTTGGGGGTGAATCGCCAGATCAGACTGGGCATGATCAACAAGTTTCAGGAGATTCTGTACGTGGGAAGCTCTGGAAGACTGTCTGCAAGGACTGGAGAGACTAGGGTTTGGCAGCCATAGCCGAAGCTTCATCACCCACTGAGGGAAATACTTCAAGTGAGTCTGTTCCATATGAATCCCTGAGTAGCGATTGGATAAGCATCAATAGAAGTAGGATTGATGGTCTGTCTGTCAGTAGTGTAGCAATCGTGAAATTGTCAGACTGCAAGACAACCATATCCATCTTCTTCCTCCCTACCCTGACTCATATCTCACTACCTATTGACCTGTTCTGACTCAAAATTGTTCTGGGACTGCCTAACAATATTGCGCTGCATCCTGTATGCTCATTCTGTGAATTCTGTGTTGGAAAGGTAGTGATACTGTGGATTTGAGTTTTGCGCTGAGTCTATTTATAGTCTAGGCTACCTAGGGTCAGTCATAACTCAAAATCTGTCCGTCAGAATTCAAGTCTGTCAGTCTGGGGTGAATCGCAACTCTCTTTTTAGCACCCCAGCTAAAGCGCTGGTCCAGAAACAGTGTATTTGGGTCATTACAGTGCAATCCTGAAATTCGCCATATCTGGGGGTATTTCTGTTGATGTCAACAGTGGCGAAATTTGAGTTTGGGGCTGTCAGGGAGTAGTTTACTAAATCGCTACTACCTGTTGCTGTGTTCAGTCAATTCTTGCCTATCCTAATCAATACTACTGATTTGCTCTGTTTTCTGATGGGCTCTGGAATACTAGTGACCCCTGGAATGCTGTGAATGTGCATGTTGCAACTCCAATGGAAGTTCAGTGTCAGGTATAGGAAATCGTGAGTGAATGGTTTTACTGGACATTCTGTCACCCTGATTGCTGACCCCAGGGTCCTATTCCAACCCTAACCACCTGTGCCCACTAACCCATATCTCTTTGTGAATTGACAGTGCAGCGAAATTTGAGTATCTGAGTGAGCTGTAAATCGCTGCACCCCCCCTGCTGTTTCATTTTGTTTTGTTTTTGTTTTGTGAGGGAAAATGTTTGACGCAGCTGACACGGGTGCAGGGAAGGTGGAGGTCGTGATCAAGGCTGAAGGAGAACCCTCAGCCACAACACCTCCTCCCCCTCCTCTGACCCCTGCGCAGCGACGCAAGAGAGAAATCCAAGAGAAACTGCGAGAGCAACAGGCGCTGCTCGCAGAGGCTGAGAGACAAAAAGCTGCAAAACTGGAGGCTGCAACAGATGCTTCCAGGAAAGAACATCTGCTGCAGCAAGCTCAGAAGACCTTTGCAGATTCTAGAGTGTCCCAGTGCACCAGAGATCTGGCTGAGTTGGTCCTGTTGCAAGACAAGCTGACAGCCGGCCATTTCACAAACTGGGATGAGAGGATCCAGAGACTGGAAACACGGGTGGCTGATCTGGGAACTCAGCAGTCAAAGATCCTGGATGCTATCCAGAATCTGACTGCTCAGTTAATAGCAGCCAACCTTATCAGTCCCCTGGTCCCTGTGGTCCCCACTCTAAAGCCCAAAAAGGCTTCTCAGCCCCCTTCTCCACCTTCTTCACCCTCTGGATCTTCTCACCCCTCGCATAAGACTTCTCCCTCTGTCTCCTCCCAGGCCAAGGCCACACCTCCCCCCACCTTTGCTGCTGTTGTTGCTGGGGACTCACGAGGACCCAAGATTCCTGCCCCCGACAAATTCAAGGGGGATGACCCCAAGATTGATGTGGGGGACTGGGCAGCTGGAACCCGGGCCTATGTGAAGGGTTTCCAGTGCCCAGAACAGCAAAAGGTGGCAACCGTTATGGGCCTGCTGGAGGGGCCAGCCCAAAAATGGGCTACCTCTACAGCAAGTGCCCAGAACCAGACTTTGGAGGACAAGGCATTGGCACTGGGGGCAGACAAACTTCTGCAGGCCCTGGAGGACAGGTTTGCAGACAAGGAACGCGCGCGTAAGGCTGCTGACAAGATCGTACGCCTTGGACAGCAGCGTTACAGCGTCAGTCTGCAGGCCCTTTTTGCTGAATTTGAGCAGCTCACTTCCACCCCTGGACTGGTTATGTCTGCTGATGACATGCTGACTAGCTTTTGCAAGGCTGCGCCTGAGAAGTTCTCAGTCGCTTTGCATAGCGCCGGGCACAAAGACTGGCGCTCATTTGGACGTGCAGGCCAAGCTCCATGTTCAAGCCCCCTCCAGTGACAGGAGGAAAGGCGCCTTCCCTCGCGGTGGTAGAAAGGGAAAGGCGGCCTTTGCATATGCGGGTTCTGGGACATCATCTGATGCAGGATCCCGACCTGGTACACCGCCAGGTGGGACTGCAGCAGCTGCTGTTCCAGATGTTGCAGCAGTTGTCCAGCAGCTGCAGGCTGCGCTGGGGGCCTTCCAAAAGGCCGGGTCTACCTCCAGCACACGCTCTAGCAGCAAGGGGAAGAGCCAGGGACGTCGCTCTTCAACCCCTGCCCGACGTCCTAATCTGCCACGTGACGTCCACTTCCCAGCAGACCCTCTGAACCCCAACACTGTCCCATGGCATGATCTGAAGATCCAGGAGGGAGTGTGGAGGAAGAGGAAGGAGAGAGGTGTCCGCTTGCGGTGTGAGGGACAACACTTTCTGAAGGACTGTCCCTACATGCCAAGCCCAGCTCAGTCAAAAAACTGAAGCTGAACCTGGAGACAACAGTTCCCTCCAGTGCTGCAACTGCATCTGCAGCTGCAGCAGCTTCAATTGAGACTCATTCCTTCCCATCCAATGTGGGGACTGCACGGGCAGCATCCTTCACTTATGAGGATCCTGACTCGGATCAGGAACCGGACCAGTCAGAGTGTCAGGCTCTTGCTGCTTTTTTTTTTCATCTGAGAGAACAAAAGCAGAATAAGTCTGATCTCATCCTGCTTCGGCCCCTGATCAACCACCGCAGGATCAAAGGGCTATTAGACTGTGGAGCCACCCGCAACTTCATGTCTCCCAGTGCAGTCCAAAAACTGCATCTGGGCATGAAAGTGGTGCAGCTGCAGCAACCGCTGCAGGTCAGGATAGGTGACTCCACTCTTCTGACCATCAGGGAAAAGGTCAGGGGTATCCTTGTTACCTTCGACAGCGTTGGAGAAGTCAGACACAGTCTGAACTTCTACATTTTCCCTGACCTCCCTTTTGATCTTGTTTTCTCCATGCAGTGGCTGAGAGCAGTCAACCCCAGGATCGACTGGCAGATCCCCAAGGTTGAACTGCCAGACAGCAAGGGGGTATATCAGCCTTGTATGATTGCAGTTGATTACCACCCTTAGACATCTTGCTTTTGCTTGAGAGCGAGAGAGTTTTATGCTCTCTCTCGCCAGTATGACCATGAGCGTCTGTTCATAGCTCTGGTCAAGCAGACAAACGCTCCTTCTACTCCCTGTCCTCCTGAGATACAACAGGTTGTGCACCAGTACGCTGATCTGATGCAGGAGCCCTTTGGGTTACCCAACCGGCCAACCAAGCATCATATTGAGCTGCTGCCTGGAGCGGTCCCTCCCAAGGGCCGCATCTACAGGATGTCACCTGCTGAGCTTGAGGAGCTCAGGCGACAGCTTGAGACCCTGACCAGCAAGGGCTGGATCAGGCCCAACACTTCTGAATTCGGTGCCCCAGTCCTCTTTGTTCCAAAGGGGGGTGGTGAGTTCAGAATGTGCATAGACTACAGGGGTCTCAACAAAATCACTAGGAAGAGTACAGAGCCACTTCCTAGGATCGATGACCTTCTAGGGCTGCACCATCTTCAGCAAAGTCGACCTCAAGTCTGGATACCACCAGATTGAGATGGCAGAGGAAGACGTCCACAAGACGGCCTTCAAAACCAGGTATGGTACCTATGAGTACCTGGTTATGCCATTCGGACTTTGCAATGCACCTGGCACATTCCAGACTGAGATGCACCGCATATTCAGGCCGTACCTGGATAAGTTTATGGTTGTCTACCTGGATGATAACCTGGTATTCAACAAAACTACCAGGGAACATGCGGGGCACCTGGCTCTGGTCCTTCAGTCATTACGTGACAACCAGTATAAGATCAACATGGAGAAGTCCTCTTTTGGAGTTCCCTCTGTTATCTATCTGGGTCATGTAATCTCTGGAGATGGGTTGGCCCCTGAAGCAGCCAAAGTTGCTGCTATTCAGGATTGGCCATTGCCCCATACAGTGAGAGAGGTCCGGTCTTTCTTGAGTCTGGCCTCCTACTACAGAAAGTTCGTCAGGAACTTTTCTGTAGTGGCTGCACCCCTGACTAACCTCACAAAGAAAGACACTCCCTTTCTTTGGTCTCTTCACTGCCAGATGGCCTTTGCACGACTCAAACAGGCCTTGACTCGTGCACCTGTTCTGAAGTTGCCTGACCCCACTCTGCCTTTTGTGATGACTACTGATGCTAGCCAGTATGGCATTGGGGCAGTCCTTCAGTAGGATGATGGGAATGGTCTGATACCTGTCGAGTTCATGAGTAAGAAGATCAAGACTCAGAAGTTGCAGGACTCTACCTACGAGAAAGAGCTTTATGCTCTTGTCAGTGCCCTGAAACACTGGAAACACTTTCTCCTGGGCAGGCACTTCAAGATCTTTTCTGATCATTCCACTTTGCAGTGGTTGAAGTCCCAGGGAGAGTTGAATGACAAGTTGGCACGTTACATTCAGTTCATTGATCTGTTTGACTTTGAACTGAAGCACAAGAAGGGCTGCTACAATAAAGTAGCTGACGCCCTCTCTCGTAGGCCTGACTCTTTTGCGCTGATCTTCTCTACTCATTCCTTTGGAGAGGAGGTCCGTCAGACCATTGCTCGTTCACTGCCTCAGGATCCGACTTATGGACCCATCGTCAGGAATCTGCAAGCAGATCCCAATTCTGAACCTGGCTATGTCCCGAGTTCAGATCTGCTGTATACTTACAGCAGAGGAGAGGAGCGCTTGTGCATCCCTGAGGATCAGCAGATGCGGACACTGCTGATGTCAGAGTGCCACGACGCGCGTGGACACTTTGGGTTCCTAAAGTCGTATGCAGCCCTGTCGCAGCGCTTCTTCTGGAAGGAGATGCGGAGTGATATGCTGCGCTATGTGGACACCTGTGAGCTCTGCCAAAGGAACAAGGTTCAACGTAAACCTCCTTTGGGATTGCTCAAACCTTTGCCCATACCTGATGGTCCTGCACAGTCTGTATCCATTGATTTTACAGGACCACCCTTCGTGGCATGCGTCAGGTTATTGTCTGCGTGGACAGGTTTTCCAAATACGCAGAGTTCATCCCCTTGCCAGAGGTAGCCAGGGTACCGGCTGTGAGAGCAGCCTGCTCTGAGAGGCGGGTCACTCACCATGGACCGCCCACCTCTATTGTTAGTGACAGAGACCCCAGATTTTGCACCGATGAGTGGCAGTCCTACTGCAAGGACTATCTGCACTCACGCCTGGACATGAATTCTGGTCGTCATCCTGAAGCCAATGGATTGGCTGAAATGATGAACCAAGTCCTGTTCCAGTTGCTACGTCCTGTGATCTCTCTAGATCAGCAGGACTGGGATCTCCACTTGGCGAGGGCACAGCTCATGTAAAACATGTCTATCCACTCCTCGACAGGGTTCAGTCACTACCGGCTACATTGGGGACGTGAGCCACGACAGCCTCTCGATGATATCATCGATAAGGCTAAGCCTGACCTTACCCCAGGCACTGCAGAGTTCTCCAGACGCTATCGTCTGGATGTGGAAAGAGCCCGGGCGAACTTGTTCAAGGCCCAAAAGGCCATGATTGAACAAGCAAACCGCCGCAGGCGGCCTTCCCCCATCCGCACTGGGGACTATGTCTAGGTGGCCAGTTCTGAGTTGTCGAGGGAGGAGGATATTTCTCCCAAGCTGTTGCCACGCTACCTGGGTCCGTGGCAGGTTCTAGATACAGTGGGCACTGATCCCTTCGGTCCGTCGTACGTCATCGACGTTCCGCTACATCTACGAACGTATCCGGTCTTTCATGCATCCAAGCTGTTGCCTTTTACGCCAGCTGATGCATTCCCTGACAGGCCCCCGCAATGGGGCCCACCAATCCCTGGCAAGGGATATGATGTGGTGGCCATTGAGGATGAGTGGGGCACTGGCCCCGACCGGCAGTATCTTGTCAGGTTCGCTTTCCAGCCCCCTTCTGAGAACCGATGGTTCTACAGAAGAGACCTGATCAAGACAGCAAAGTCTGTTGTACTGCGATATGAGGCGGCTCAAAAGGGTGACCTTCGCCGTTCGCCTCGTCTGCACCCCTACCTCGGAGGTCCTCGCTCCCGGGGAGGGTAAGCCTGCAATGACTTGCTGATTTCTGCTGCCGAGATCGTCTGCGAGGCTGTACATTAATTGGTAGGGTTAGTTTTGCAATTTTGTTTGGCTGAGGGCTAACCGAGAGATCCATCTGTGTGGAAATTCGTGAGGGACAGATCTGTAATTTTCGGAAAATACAGACCTGGTACTAACCTAGTTCCTACAGCTACCCTAACTGCCTATAGCAGGCCCGGGCTACCCCTAAGACAGACAGGCCCTAAGTGGCCTATACTGTTATACGGTCCTATAGCCTATAGCCGGGTACGGTAGAGGCCGAGAGGCCGAAACAGCAACGGTACCGGTAGGTCCAGTCAGTCCGGTCTAGGTCTAGGCTA